TTTGGTAGACATGTATTAGAAATAGCAATATGACAGACATTAATCAACATGACAGTAAACTAGCAGTGTTATTACCCTAGACCGGAACATTATAGAGATAGACATACATTACAAATAGGATGTTATAGGAAATTAGTAGTGTTATTACCCTATATTGGAACATTACAAGGGAAGACATACAAGAAATAAGATGTCATAGGAAACTAACAGTGTTATTACCCTAGACTAGAACACTACAGAGGTAGACATGCATTAGAAATAGGATGTCATAGAAAACTAGTAGTATTATGTTAACTCGCAATTGTACGGGCCAATTAGTAGTATAGCAAGACTAGTACGAGGTCGTACCCATGTGGACTGAGAAGTTTAGACTTAGTTATGTACTTAGATTACCGAATTCAAGAAAGTAGGAGGTTAAGTCTAAAACAGAATTTAAAGCAAGAGTGATTGTGATTGTTGAGCAAATGAAGCAAAATGAAATCTGCAAATGAAAGCAAGTAAACAAGTGCAACAAAGAGTACTAAGGCATTCGATTCACTATAACAATTCAATTTTGGTTTACAAGGATTCAAGTGACAAGTCTAATTTAGATTCAAAGATTGATTCAAGCTAAAGTATGATTAAGCTATGGTGTCTGGTCCTAACCTTATATTCCTAATTCCCTAATTTGATCATCTGTTGTCTAACCTAAAATTAAGCATTAGGAATCCATTAAGCATAGAAGAATGTTTTAAACAACCAAGTATGTATCTAATCCCTGTTGTCGAATGTCCATACATACTCTTCCTATTCATAGTTCAATTCGAATTAAAGCATGGTGTCTACTCTTAATTCAAACCAAGATACACAAATATGAATGGTAGCTAGGCATTCCGATTAGCATATAAGCAGGTAGGCACAATGAATAAGAACATGAATCTTGAATCAAACTTGAAACTTGAAATTTATAAACCTAGAATATTCATGTTAGGTTACATTGAAGCCCTAGTTATGGATTTAGCCCTCATACTAGGAATGAAACTTAAACATAAATGAGAAAACATAATGAATGCAATAAGAAGAAAAACCCTTTTTCTGAATTGTGGTGTCCAAGGTTTCTCCAAGTGCTTCTCCACTTCTAATGCTTCTCCAGAGCTTCCTCACGTCTAGAATGATGTATAATAGTTAAGGAGCAATTTAGGATGAGTTTGGGTGAGTGGTGATGGCAGAGAAAGAGGAAATTTGTAAGGAAATTGAAGGAAGGCTTATTGGAGCTAATTTGGTGATTTGGAGCTGTTTAGAGTGTTGGGTTGATTGTTGGAGTGTTTGGGGTTGTGGTAGTGTTTAAGGATGATTTCTGAAGATGTTTAGGAAATGATGGGAGTGTGGAGAATGGATGCATTTAATTGTGAGATTGTGAATTTGTATTAATAGGGAGAAGGAAGTGAGAAATCATAATTGAATATGGCTAATGCCTACAACACTTCCAATTGAAAATCAAGGAGAGCTGGGAATTTTTCTAATACGGGATCATAATGGTTTTCCTTGGAGATGGAAAATCCACCCCCTGCGTTTTATTCCAATTGAAAATCAAATTCTTTTCTTATGTGGCTGCTGCACTTGACCAACTAATCCCGCCAGAAACCATAGCTCATGCATAACTCATCCTGACCAAGCAACAATTAGGTCATCCTTTTGTTAGCATGATGTGTATTTTGATGAGCTCACGGATTGGGTTTGCCTTGATCAATTGATACGTTTGAGTAGTCCATCTTGAAGTTCAGACTTTCTTCTTTCCAACAACATGTTATTTGGGCCAATCCAAGTTTGGAGGAAGAAGTTAAGGCCGAAGCGAATTGCTAACTTAGTCTGCACGGTTTTGCACCATTTTGCATCTTTTCCTATCCAAAGCCACCATTGCTACCTAAGGCCCAATGAACTGAATAATAAACACAAAAAAGATTAAATGCACAAGTTTAACTCAATAACATAACTAAATCATAAGCTAGAAGGGTACACAAATGATATACAATTATGAACTGATTTGGAACATTACAACCATTAATCAACAACATGTTAATGAAGCTACGATTTTTGAGACATTTTGTTTGTAATGAATTGTTTGGGTTTTTTTTTTAAAAAAAAAAAAATTGGGCTGAGCTTGATTTTGGTGCTTTTTAAGATTTTGTTGAGCTTTTTTTAAGTTGATCAATGACAGTCATATAATTTATAGGAACTTCAAACACCAATTTCTTATGTAGTAAATAAGTTTTGGGTGTGTTTCTAAAGTGCATTCCATGCGCGCGGGCCAGGGGGTGTTTAATAATAATTTCAGCCCCTATTTTGAGTATATTAGTGAAGCTCCCTAATAACTAATCATTTAAAACATTCGACATTGAATAGAAAAGGAAAATACAATAAACGGGGAAGCTATTTATATCATTTGGCATTGATATAATTGATTGCTTGTTTCTTTTTTAGTTTCTTTTTAAAATTTGAACTTTAAAACTACAATCAACTTGATGGGGGAAACCTTTTTCATTTGTTATGTATCATCCTTGCTGGACGAAGGTGAGTATTGGGTGGAGATATATTCATTTTGATTATTCTAGAGATTTTAACTATCATAACAAACAAGGATGGAAAATGGAACAAAATTGTACAAGCTTATTTTAACTATGATGTGGACAGGTTAATGTTGCCAGTGAAATGATGATCTACAAATTAACTTGTCCAGAATGCTTACCGATTAACCTGTCCAGAATACTTACCAACTCTCTAAAAGTAAAAATTGAATTCATATTCACATATATGTTGATTCTTTGTATAGTTTAGTTTTTGTTGACAATTTTTGGCGGATGAGGACGTAGGGTTGTATGACTCTAAGATATTCGGCATCAAAAAGCAAGAAATCATGAGATATTAGTTTGAAATGAGCATGATTGTAGAAGAAATTTGTGGGATGTGTCTGCTGTGTTTTTCATTTTTATTCAATGGAACTAGAAGTAAATATTTTAAAAATTATGGACATAAAAATTGATTACGTGGTCATTGTCTAGATCTATGGACTGCAATTGAGAGAACACAATTGATGTCCTGCATCCATTATATCTTAATGAAATTGAACCTGTATCTAAGAAGCCCAAATTAGAATTAGGTGAGGGGTTGTATAATGAGGTGTATGTTAAATGTACTCCATTTGTGATTGACATCACCTACAATGAAGAGGTGTAAATGATTGTAAATTTGCATCACAACCATGATATGCAAATTTAGATGCACATGTGCATCTTTTTTTACATCCATTGCAGATGGGGCTTACATCTGAAAATACGAGGAAAGGTGGAAAAAGTGAGCAAAAAAGTTGTTGAATGTAAACCCACTTGCCCAAGACTAGCGGCTATAGTAGTTGCTGGACAAAACTTCATATGTAGGACCCATGCCTATAGGATGTCATCTCCCTAATGACTATATTGCAAAATTAAATTATGCAATTTTTTTTTCTTTTTCTTTTTCAAAAACAGCTTTAGCCAACAGGTTAATTTTTTCAAAATGAAATCTGGCCCAACGGCTAGTTGATCCAATGGTTCAATTTGAACTCTAACTTTAGCCAAATCCAATAGATACAATAATCCAAGGGGCCAAGAAAAATTCAGATTTTTCTATATATATATATATACCCACCTCTTTGTTCATAAAACCACAATTCTTTTTCATTCACAATTCTTCTTTACTCTCAAGCATTTGGCTTTATTTTGTTTATTGTGCTTTCCTATCTTTTATGATCATCAAAATGAGTGGAATTGGAGATAGTTCAAAAAGAGCTAAATTGCCAAACTTTTCCATTGAGGAAGATGTCTATGCCATGTATACCTAGCAATTAGTGAAGATCCAATTATTGGAAACTCCCAACAAGTTAATGCATTTTGGACCAGGATTCAAAAACAATTCTTTGTGGGGAAGGAGAAAGAACGTCAAATAATATGGATGATTTTGATGAAGTGATGGTAGTGATAGGTTTGATATTTATAGGAAATCAATGGTATCTGATATGAGAATAAAAGGGTTAAGATGAAAATAAGAGAATCTGATCCAAGGGTTGAGATGAAGATAAAAGAATCCGATCCAACGGCTGAAGATGAAATCAAATTCTATCATATCATATCTTGAATTGTGTGCAAATAAGAAACAATAATGGATGTTGAATTGTCTACAAAAACGTGATAAGATACCAACAGTTCAGATTAAATGTACTTTATAATCCAACAATTCTTTTTGGATGAAATCATATCTTCTCCGATTTTAAATATTTTTAGGTCTATTTGTTTGAAAAAATAAAATAAACCTAACACACACAAAATTAATTCTATAAAGTTAACACAAAAATCAATTTTACATCTTCCCCATTGGGGCCAAAACCACATTTACAACCCCCCGAAGATATAAAAATGATGTAAAAGTGACTTTACACTCTCCAAAAATACACCCATCCACACTATAAAAAGGATATAAAAGTGCTCTTATGATGGTTTGAAGTAAACTACAAAGGAAGCTGTTATTAAAACTCGGGTTATTTATTGTAGACGTCCCTGAACTTGGCCCTCAGTTGCAATTGGGTCTGTGGACTTTTTTTTTGCCAATTACATACTTTAACTAGACAAATAGTTGCAATTAGGTCCTACCATCCAACTCTGTCAATTTGTCCGTCAAAATGAGGGGTAAAAGCATCCTTTCAAGTCTGAAGAAAAAAACTGAAAAAAGTGAAAAAAATAAATAAAATTAGAAAGTAAAAGCAAAACCCAGAAAACCTCCACTCCTTCCTCGCAAAACACTGCCGCCATTTCCTCCCAATCGGGTCTCGGCTGATTCGTTCCAGTACCAGCCCGGCTTCCTCGGAGCCGTACCCGACCGTACTTCCACCGACGGAAATGACAACGGGAACATTGTCGACGCCATGGAATACTTGACGAACATACTGTCGTCGAAGGTGTATGACGTGGCCATCGAATTGCCGTTAGAATTGGCCACGAAGCTGTCGGAGCCATTAGGAGTGAGAGTTTGGATGAAAAGAGAGGACTTGCAGCCTGTAAGTGTTGTTCCAAGTGTTCAATTGAATAATTTGGATTGGAAAAATTGGGGATTTTCGACAGAAACTTTTTTGTTGAATTTGCAGGTCTTCTCGTTCAAGCTTCGGGGAGCTTACAACATAATGGCAAAGCTTCCAAGGGAGCAACTGGAGAGAGGGGTTATTTGCTTCTAAGTTGGAAACCATGCCCAAGGAGTTGCCTTGGCTGCTAAGAAGTTGAATTGCAGTGCTGTGATTGCAATGCCTGTAACCACACCAGAAATTAAGGTACACTTTTTTTTCTTTTTCATTTTGGAGCTTAATTTCACAATTCTAATTTGTGGGTTTGGCTTATTGAATGTTGTGGAATTTTGTATTGCTTGTTTGCAGTGGAAATCTGTTAAGAGATTGGGCTCCACGGTTGTTCTTATAGGGGATTCATATGATGAGGCTCAAACTTATGCTAAGAAGCGGGCTCAAGAGGAGGGAAGGAACTTCATACCTCCTTTTGATCGCCCAGATGTTATTATCGGACAAGGAACGGTTAGGATGGAAATTATGCGTCAAACAAAGAGTTCTTTCATCTTTTGCGCGTTATTATTCATATTTGCCCAAGAGTTCTTTCATCATGTCCCAAGAAAACCCTTTCTCCCAAGCTTGTTTTTCCGCTCTGTTGAAGTTTCAAGGGAGGACCTTGCTAGATCTGTGACTGCTAATCCATGTCTCTTGATAGTAAGCTTGAGGGAACGGATTGTGCCCACTTTATTTTAAATTTTAAATTTTAAGTTAATTTATTTTTTATTTCACTTTTTTCAGTTTTTTTCTTCAGACTCGAAAGGATGCTTTTATCTCTCATTTTGCCGGACAAATTGACAGAGTTGGACGGTAGGGCCCAATTGCAACTATTTGTCTAGTTAAATGATGTAATTGGCGAAAAAAAAAGTTCAGGGACCCAATTGCAACTGGAGGCCAAATTCAGGGACGTCTACAGTAAATAATCCTTAAAACTAAAAAAACTAATCAAGCACTCCATGAAGCGGTATGGTGAAAATGTTTTTGCGTGCACAGCAAGATAATTGACAATGTTGGATCTTCTTGTGTTATCATCATATGTTGGACTTCCTAAAGTAAAATAAGAAAGTAAGAAAACTAGAAGCCTGTGTGTTATCGGTGGGCAACAAGTCCACATCACACCCTTCCCCCCCATTGGACAAAACATTCGACAAGAACTTCAAAATTCAAAAAGAGTTCACTACCATCTTTTAAATCCCAATGTGTTTTGACTAAAAGTATGTGAAGTGGTATAGTCCGATTCCAAATTCCATGCGCCTGCCTGATATTTTGGACTTTGATGTTTTTCTAATGTTCATTATTGTGCAGGAGAAAAGTAAACAGACAAACAAACCACAGAGGAAAAGATTTAGTTATGACTATCTGACCACAAGATGTATATCTTGGTTGCCAAGCCATGCCAACCTGATACGATATCTTTGAAGTTGGAATGTCATGTAATGGCAGACACCAACTTTCAACATATGGTATATATTCTAAATTCGTAATAATGCCAATTATCCTTTTTCTTTGTCATGACGCATATAAGTAGTCACTTTCTCCAACATTTTTTGAGAAAGAAGAGGAAGTCATGTGGACCAAAAAGACCAAAAAGGAGGAGCTAGCAAATCACTAACACCTATACTTAAATAATAGGGTGATTAGTTTCAACTATCTTATGTAGACACTAGACTTAAAAACTTTGGGAAGAAATACCTCAAATAGTAGTTTGAAATTGCTTGTGCTCTTACCCAAATGATAATTCATTTTTAGGAGAGAAATTCTCATGCAATGGAGATAGAACTTTTTGCTATCTCCGGCCAATAATACAATGACATGTAGGATAATTTTTTTCACATGTCATTATGTTATTAATTTTGGATATTAAAATAGTATTAATCCCTAGATAAGGTTTTTTTGTTGTTGTTGCACTTTTAGACCATATTATGCAATACCGGGGTCCACTTGCAACCACGGATTAAGAAAATTTGAGCAATGTCGGCCACAAGTTGGGGTGAAATCAATTTTTTTTTGCATGTGCCATTCCAGCCAAAATGGTGAAAGAAACCGCATAAAGTCAGAACTTGACAAAGTTAAGTGAAAGACGTCAGAATAAAATGTGAAACCTAACCTGCCAATATTAACAATTGTTATTAGAACTCATATTGAAAATGAAAGTAGAGGTATATAATTTATAAAACATTGCTACAATTAAATTAACCATTTAGAATTTTTTATTTTTTTAAAAAATAATCTCACTTTGTAATGTTAAACTGAATTATAAGAAAAAGAGAAGGGAATACGATTTTTAATTAATTATAATTTTATATTAACCCGTTGTTCTGTTAGATCAATGAAATATGTAAGTTGACCAAAATTGATAACATATATAAACTACAAAAGGTAGGATTGACAAGAGAACTTTTGGCCAAAACTTACCGCACACAATATAGCATTGAAACAAGAGAACTTTGAATTTGCCGATCACGGCAGACGAACAAATATCAAACCCAAGAAATATTAGGCTTTCCCATTGTAGGGTTGGAATATTGCTACTGTATTGCGTCTGACAATTGTATCACGCCGTCTGACCCAAAAAAGGACCCTCGGGACAAATGGACTCGGATATTCCTTGAATATTGAGTCCAACTGTGTGGACCTTGAGCCTGATTTCTGCACGCCAGTCCATCTGGCTTTTGGGTTCTCTTTAAACAAACAATTTGGGCTCTATTTGCCAAAAACGGAGGGTTAAAATAAATCAATTACCCAAAGTAATTTTCACAGATTGGATTTTAATTACCATTAATTAATGGTGATTCAATCTAACTACCCAGATCTAATTGGATCATTTTCACCCGGACTCCAGATTGTATATTTTTTAAAATTGAGGATTGATCATCATCATTGGTTATCAATTCCAAACCAAACCAACAAATGCTAAGAGCTGGAAAGGTGAAATAGCACTCGGCACTCGAAACCACAGCCAGAGACTTCCCAGGAAAACAGGCAACTACAAGCCAGGAATAGTTTATTGACAGTAGGCTTTTGCATAAATGGATTGAAAAAAGCAAGGCTAGAAAGTTTATTTATTCTCTTAGAGTTACCAAGGGTTAGTAGGCTGAGCACTTTCCAGCAATTGTGCTTCAGTCCCCATTATTCGATTTTTTTAAAAAAAAAAAAAAAAAAATACAAGTATTGTGTTTTGGTTGACTCACGCGTATTTTGAGTTAAGAACCTAAAATCAAGTTTCATGTATTGCTAAAGTTAAACTTGTCACAAAATGAACATTCACTTAATCCGGAGTAATAACAAAACCATTATAAAAAAAAAATAGTCCCATAACTTATCTAACAATACTTTATTAATAAATAAATAAAAAAGAACATTTCTTCATATAGATAGAAAAGGACATGCTACTTGCCTTGGTTAACTATATAGACATGGCGACTTGAGTTGATCTTTGAGTTTCCTTGGCATAAATTCCCACTGGGTTAGGTCCTCATAAGGTCTCGGACCCTAATGGGAGGAGATTTCAGGAGAAAATCGAAGGCGGGTATGGGGATATCCAAATTTAAAAAATTTCCGGTTGAGGACGGGTCGAGGATGCTATTGTTATCCCAATACCCATACCTTCGATGAGCAATATATATTAGAAATTTTCCTATGCGAACATCCAAATGTTATTATCCTGCAGACGCCATGTATTTTGTACTACTCCTACCTGTTTTCCGACTTATTTACAAGATCATCCGTACAATAATAATGTATATATATATATATTAATATATATATATAATATAATATACCCATGTAAGAGTAAGCTTATGATTTAATATAAAATTTATTTTGTTTTGCCAAATTGAATTAAGATTATTTGAGTTGTTGAGTTGAATTTTATAATTCAATTGAATGTAATTGAGTTGAATGATAATGAAAGATGAGATTTAAGTGTTATGATGTAGGATAAATTTTTGCCAAATTGAATTAAGATTATTTGAGTTGTTGAGTTGAATTTTATAATTCAATTGAATGTAATTGAGTTGAATGATAATGAAAGATGAGATTTAAGTGTTATGATGTAGGATAAATTTTTGCCAAATTGAATTAAGATTATTTGAGTTGTTGAGTTGAATTTTATAATTCAATTGAATGTAATTGAGTTGAATGATAATGAAAGATGAGATTTAAGTGTTATGATGTAGGATAAATTTTTGCCAAATTGAATTAAGATTATTTGAGTTGTTGAGTTGAATTTTATAATTCAATTGAATGTAATTGAGTTGAATGATAATGAAAGATGAGATTTAAGTGTTATGATGTAGGATAAATTTTTGCCAAATTGAATTAAGATTATTTGAGTTGTTGAGTTGAATTTTATAATTCAATTGAATGTAATTGAGTTGAATGATAATGAAAGATGAGATTTAAGTGTTATGATGTAGGATAAATTTTTGCCAAATTGAATTAAGATTATTTGAGTTGTTGAGTTGAATTTTATAATTCAATTGAATGTAATTGAGTTGAATGATAATGAAAGATGAGATTTAAGTGTTATGATGTAGGATAAATTTTTGCCAAATTGAATTAAGATTATTTGAGTTGTTGAGTTGAATTTTATAATTCAATTGAATGTAATTGAGTTGAATGATAATGAAAGATGAGATTTAAGTGTTATGATGTAGGATAAATTTTTGCCAAATTGAATTAAGATTATTTGAGTTGTTGAGTTGAATTTTATAATTCAATTGAATGTAATTGAGTTGAATGATAATGAAAGATGAGATTTAAGTGTTATGATGTAGGATAAATTTTTGCCAAATTGAATTAAGATTATTTGAGTTGTTGAGTTGAATTTTATAATTCAATTGAATGTAATTGAGTTGAATGATAATGAAAGATGAGATTTAAGTGTTATGATGTAGGATAAATTTTTTTTTTTAAAAAAAAAAAAATTGGGGATCTAGGGCGGGTTTAGGAGATTGCCCCCAACGGAGATGAAGATTCCTCAAAAAAATTTTACCAAGCATAAAGTCGAGAACAAAGATGGTATTGTCATACTCGGCCCCGAACCGACCCATTTGCAAACCCTCTTTGAGTCACTGGAAGGGCAGCTTGCCTGCAGCAAAAGAAACAGAAACTGCACGAATTTGTCATATCTACAGAGAAAGTAATGGGATGTGGGGTGCCTAATGTGTACAAAATCTGGGCTTATCTTTTCTATCCCCAGCTGTGCCCTTGGACATCAGATGGGTTTATTTTTTGCTTTTGGGCCTCTCGGTTCACACTAAAAAATGTCCGCTAATTTCGTTATGGTTTCAAGAATCTATCCAGGTTGTAAACAAAAGGAGAAAGAGACCCTCAACTTAAGTGATTAACACATTTTA